TTCTATGGAATAAGGGATCGGAGAGGAAGCATTGTCACCACGTTGAGAAGACATTCCTTACCGCCTTCACCAGCTGACAGTCACCATCAACTCGCAATAGAGATCAGATTTCTGTTTACCATCCACGGCTTTTATTATCACTTCAATTAAAAACCTGTTTTGTGTTTGCTTGTGTGGAGTTACATCAAAGGAGTTTTGTAAATCGCTGTGCTACAGATTTTGTAGGCACTTTGAACTACACTGCAGTCGAGAGACAATTTCCACCTTGTCGGCTGATGTCAACCTTGGAAAATCGGTGGCGCTGCACAGTTGAGGAGGTACGTATTACCGGCTAGGGCACATTAAGCGATTATTAAGGAGAGGAATGTAATCTTTGTTTACATTAGCAATTGGGGATGAAATAATTGGAAAGCCCGTAACAACTCGTTGGATTTTTTTGCTTACACAGTCAATTAGGTTTAGTTAAATGAAAAACATTTTTAGCGGAATCACGCTAACGAGTGCTCCTTCCAATTAGCAGCCTCACCCCTTGCCTGTACCCGGTGTTGAAGTTCAAGATGCTAGTATTGTCAGTATCATCACTACCACCGGCTACAGTCACTAAAACTGCTCAAGTGGACTTTAAACCCACTCGGTTGTCGCTAAGCCCACGCCATCACCCCCTGGAATCCGGCTGGCTGGCTGGCTGGTTGACTGGCTTCTGGAAATGGTGATGCACGTGCGCACGATGGCAGGTTGAGTGGATAATGCGTTGTGATGGTGAGGCCTTGGGGGGAGGGGGGGAAGGAGAGAAGGCGGGATATAAGGGGGTAGGTGGGACCCGAGGGTGAGTGGAAGGAATAGAAGTGGAGGCTTAGATGACGAGGCCAAGAGTAAATAATTTCAGCTACTACAGGCGCCGGAAAATTCGAATCACTGATAAGCTCATCTACCTCCACCGCCATCGCAACCAACCTCTCAAGTAGTACCTGGCTTAATACTATAAAATGTCAACGACTTCCACTGTCAGCGTTGAGACAATGATGCGACACAGGGAGAGCGCCTCCGAATAGTCTCAACTTCAAAACGCAGTCCATTGAAGGGCTTAAACGTTTGGCGCTTCCATTGAAAGGATTATACAATGTGAGGTTTTAACAATGTAAAAAATGAAAAATCAAAATTTGACGACTAGACTAATCTGTTTGCTGTGATGTGTGGGCAAATTGTGAGGTGAAGTCTCACGAGGTCATGGGAATGAACCAAAGGCCATCTGACATCGCTATCCTCCTCCATCCAAATGCAGATAGACAATTAAGAAATTCACAAATGTGTGCTGCTAACGCCTCCAATCCATCATGCATTTAACACAACTGTGAATCATAGTAGCAGTAAGAATAAACAAATTGGTTGCACTGGGGGAAGAAACAGGAGGAGAAAGAGATGACCGGGACTGGACTAACTACTGCAAAGGTATTGGCTCTATCTCCTCTTCCCGGTTAGCCATTATCTCAAGGTGTAGTCGTGGTTCCCCCTCCCGCCCTCGCTTCAGCGACCAGCCAGGCGAGCTGATTTATGATAAGCTCGCAAATGCGGGGTAGAAACCATACCAAACGCCTTCAGAGGGCGACTCAGCATTTGACCCCTATCAAATGAGGCGCCAGGAGTAAAATGTCACGAGGGGCATTTAGTGTGACAACATGGTCCAGGTTGGTTTGCATTACTAATTGCTGAACTTCGTACAAGGCATTCGCAACGTGTATTGTCGCGTAAACGATGGTAGCAACAATAACGGCTTTGCGCCACCTTTGATCCTTTTCCCACACAAAGAGTAGGAAACTAGGATTCGCCACATGCATCAACACACCTGAAACGACTTTGTCGGCGGGGCTTTTGATTTCCTGCACGCATCACGGCCTAGCGCCACACAACGCGGATGACGTCGTGGACGTTCACCATTGCAGTTGCAACGCTCAATTGTCAGTTGTTATTTACTTGACAATCAGCAAAAGTGTTTGTGGAGGCCGTGTGTTGTCGCGTGGTGCGATTGTCGCGAGTCATTCCTGTCTCAGCACAATTTTCGTGCGGCTGCATTCAATCCTCACATTGACGGAGTAGTTGCATTGATGTCAGTCAAGTGGCAAGTTGTGATGCATGTGCTGGTGATTGCAGTCAGTGTTCAGTGTGGACGCCAGAGTTGTACGGAGGTGATGCTGAAATGCACTTTGTGGAAGCGAGGCGATGCGAGCAAATCGGTGTCTTCGTGATGCGCTCAGCATTTCCCATTGTCTTCTTTCTTGTTCCCTCCGCCGGTGCCCACGATTCAGTGATTGCGTGTGTGAATTCGCGAGTTTGGTGAAAATTGTTGGGGTTGTGAAGGCATACCGATTAGATGTGCCAGATCTGCTCCTGTTGAATTGCAGCGAATTTGGGCGATTGCAAATGACGAACGTACGGAAGTGTGTGTCCCC